CCCCCCCCAATAGTACCTTAAAGCCACAGGAGTGGCTCGAGAATCAAATTTCATTCAACTAAAAAACTAGCAAAAAAAACATAAATGAACATGAAACGTCTGACTTTAAATGCACAAATACCAACTAAAGCTGTAGATGAAGAGTCTAGACTTGAAGTGATATTTGCCCAGTGAATTATTCTTTTTCCTGAGGCAACACAGAAAAAAAAAAAGGCTACCTTTTCTGATGGTGTGAAATAGTTTGCCATCTGACTATAGGAGAGTATGAAGAAATTTCAAGGACAAACTAGATCAGCCTTTACCTCGGGGCCTCTGTTTCTCTGCGTCATAGATCATTACAACTTCAGTGACCTGGAAGAGAGAAGGGAAATTCTACTCACTGTGCTACCAGGGGAGCGTTATAAACAGTTACTACAGGCTGGTTTCCCGCACTCTATCCACAAAGCACAATTAAATGCTCCATGTAGCCATCAATACCAGGCTGTCCTAGCACAGTGCAAACAAACTGGGAATATTGCTCTTCATGGGAGTTTAAGAAAAGCCTGAGTTCATCTGTTCTGTAAAGATGCTGCATTATGGCTTTTTAAGGTCTCATCACACTTAAGATTTTAATCTACCATTAAGGTCGCTACTCTATTTATATCTATACTATAGCCTATAAAAAAACCCCAAAGGTTTCTGGTTTTCATACTATTCATCAGTGTAGTTTCGTAAAAGATTACTTTTTCCATTTTTAAACATTTTCACTCTCAACGTGGAAAGCGGCTGTAACTCCAAACACATTTAAAAATTTGCACAGCTTCTCTGAATTACTTGAGTATCAGTGTGGCACAGAGTACATTATAAATTGATGCTTTAAATAGCATTACAAAAACCCCCTAAGTTATCATCAGTATCATTGTGATTTTAACATTTTAAAAAACAGGAAAAAAAAAAAAAAAGGAAAATGCAAGTTGTTCCGAGGACTTCCAAGATTTTTTTTCAGAATAAGCACCGCTGTGACCAGAGATGTAACATTTATGTCAAAGGCAATATTAAAACAGTTGAAAGGAACTGCCTTTCAATTTCTCAGATGGAGAAAAGCGGTCACAAAACATGTGTGATCTCACAGAATCACATCTGTGCCTTCAAGTCAATCTTAGGATATTTTTTACCAGATCCCCTGAGTTAGCTTAAAATCTGACACAAATTCACCTTTTACTTACAGCTAGAAAACACACTTTTCAAGTTATTACACCACATGCACTCACTTGAATATATCCCACTGGATGCTAAGAGCTGGGATTTGTCCCCATTTGGGGATTACGCCAGGTGACAGTGCCAGATTTTTTTCCCCCACTGCTCCATTTGGATCCCCTTCTTCACACTGGTCTTATTTACCAAGCAATTACCATGTCTAAGAAGCAATGCCTGCTTTTGGCTCTTCACTCTGTGGCCACAAAACATATAAGAGCCTCTACTTCTCCAAAGATAACTCATTAGCAGCACCAGACTCCCCAGTTTCTAGACTATTGTTAAAGTTCTACTACTTACTTTTAAAGGCACTTACACTTAGTGGCTGTTGCCTTCTATATTTGGTGGAACATAACCCTGTATCTCCCCAGCCATCCAGAGGTCAGAATTGGAAAGCCAAAAGTCTGTGAGGAAGAGCCTTTAGAACTTATGCTCCACAGCTATGGAACATGCTCCCCCATTTTTATTTACAAGTCTACCGCAGCCTTTCAAACTAAAGAAACAGTTGTTAGCCATTGCCTTTTATTATTTTTTTTAAAATTATCTTAATCAAGTTTTAAATACAGAACTGTTGATAAACTTAGCCAGTTGAGAAAGAACCAACAAATCCTTTGCTGCCACTAAGAAGAGATCTTAGAGAAAGGTGATAAAAAATACAAACATCAGAAGAACACACTAAATGCCACTCAGAGGCAGCAAGTTCTCATCCACTGGCACAATATTGAATATATCTCAGTCAATCTTTAAGTTTCTCAAACTTATTCACAGTTGAATTTAGTAATTTAGTTTATTAAGTTTACCATCTTAAAGGGGCAACAATAGTTGGGATAAATGGGAATTAAAACTAAATCGAAACCAAAAACTAAAATTGGAAGATATAGTCATTTCAGACCAAGGTTACAAACTGAATTAAAACCAGGTGTGTAACATCAGTAGGGTTTGTCTCTAGAATGGAGGTTCTAGGGACGACAGAACTCAGCTGATTCCAGATGACAATTTAAAAGCAACTACAGTCACCAAAATAATGGCAGGGGACTGCAGAATTTAAGCTATTTGTACACATAATCTAAGATCCTCGTCTTTGACTACAAGTTCACTGAAGTACTCACTGTTCCCCCCCCCCAAAAAAATCCAACAAAAATGTTTTTAATTGCCAAGCTGTAAGTCATCGATTGAAAAGACAAAAAAAAAAAAAAAAATGAATAATTCATCAGGTAGACTTAAATAAGAGAAGACAGAAGCAGCAAAGGAAGTTACACACCAGAGCAATAGATTCTGACAAACTGCAAGATACATTTCAAGATGATGACTGTTTACTCCAGTTTATCACAAAATGCTTCAGTATGGCCCTACAGCAGTTTGTTTAAGTTAACCCAAAATGTGACAGCTTGACGAAATCTGAGAAAGGGCAGTGGGGAGGGAAAGCATCTTGCAACTGACTGATAACTGCCATCATGCCGAATGACTCACCACTCCGAATTTCTTGAAGTATTCCCTGAGCTCTGTCTCGCCACAGTTATGAGGAATTCCACCAACAAAAATTTTATTTGATTTATTGTTATCGTTCCTGGATCCTTTCTGCTAAATCAAGGAGGAAAAAATTCAGTCAGAGGACAATAAAGGTGGCTATTTCTATCATTTTACTCTTAAACATGAGCAATGGTCTCTGGTGGGCTGAGGGGGAGCCACCTCCAGGCCTGAAGTCTCCTAGTCATTAAAGTGAAGCAACTGCATGTTCAGAGCTCAGAAGTTTCATGTTTGCAGTTATAACCCAGTCTCTGCTCTTGAGGAGATCAGAGAAGTAGGGACTGTGTTCTGAGGCCATTTACTAATTTTACAGTGAAATCATATTAACCCACAGAGTGTGAAGTAGCTAGAAAATAGCATCAGCCCTGTGAGTGCACTTCCAGACACTTGTTTCAAGTTTTGAAGAACTCAACTAAAAGCACTAAGAGCTTAAGAAAACGCCACACCCACAAACTGAGTCTGACACAAAGTGTTTGTTAACACTGTATTGTACCTTGAGTACCATGGAAATCTAAGTAGAAGACATTTTAAAGAAAAAAAATTTACACTCAAGGCTTGTATATCGACTCCTGATTTTAAAACGTGGATATAATCCAAGTGAATTCAATCAAACTACTAGAAGGGAAGCCAAAATTGGGAAACAGGCAGGATACACCAAGTATCTTTCCTTACCCATCCTTCCTTCGGTCGTGTCCTTTCTGGTTGCATCCCCCTAGGTGTACATGGCTTTGGATCAATCTGGAAGAAGTTCCAGTTTGGTCAGATCTCAGCGTGCAGAATATTGTTCTAAAAGTCACGTTTATGGCAGCTGAACACAGCACTGCTGAAATCCAGCTCCTCAAAGCTATCATCAATACATCGCTTCTACAACGTGACACAAATCATTGGATTAAAACTGTCTTACAATAATCAAAACCAACAACCAGGTAACTTTTACACTATCCAGTCTGCAAATAAAAAGCCAGAATTTAAAACAGAACTTTGAAGCAGCCTGGAGCAGAAGGTTCTGAAGCGGAAAACAAAAAAAACCACAAAAGCAACTTACATTTCGGCCATCTAACGTATGAGGTCTACTGGCCAGTACTGTTCCCACACAGTTGGGGTCTTTAAATTTGACAAATCCAAATCCTCGAGACTGGTTTGTTGTTTTGTCTTTCATTATTACACAGTCTACAACTTCTCCATACTGGGAGAAGTAGCTACGAAGAGTTTCTGTTAAAAAAAAAATAAAAGCACATATTAAACAGAACCAGATACTAATTTTCCCATGCTGTGTTCACAATTATGAGACCAAAGATAAGCAAACAGCTGAACAAGTGCAAGCTCATCTTCTGAAAGCGATCAAATTTTACTACTTCTAAACAAATGGTATACAAGAGCTTATTTCCACACACACAGAGGAAAGCAGTACTGTGGTAAAGCAATGACAAAATATTGTCGCCTTCTGAGCTGACAAAACCTTCAGTACCAAACACCAATAGAAAATACAAAACCAGATGTGATGAACACGAACTCTCTCCACATAAAATTTGATTCATTAATGGGAGAGAGCAGCACAATCTCATCCCAATCTTCCTACCACAGTACTGCCCGTTACAAAGCCACGGATCCGTCCACTGTTCTGCTGTTCACAAAGCCTGGCTCAACGACTGTAGAATACATAGCTTACCTTGCGTTGTACTCCAGTCCAAGCCACCCACAAACAGTTTTCTGCAAATGAAACATACAGCAGTTTTAGGGTGCTACATGACAGATGCTTCATCTTATTTAACACAGAAGTCAGCTATTCTGAAGAGGTCTGGCGGTACCGGGGCCTCCACAACACATTACAAAGCCCGTTCTTCACTAGAATTCACTATTCTTTGTGACAGCTACTTGCTGTTTCATGGAGATTCACATAAAACTGAAGCATCCGTTTTTGTGTATCACAAGCACAAACAGAGATCGTAAGCTTATCACAGGAATATTTTATTCTTTCATGCAAAGAGAAGACAAGAGTATCAGAGCAGCCTAAGTTTCTCCAAGCTGCTTATTTCCAAGCGTCTGAGCAGGCCGCATGGCTTTGCGAAATCATTAGTGTAGCCAGAAGGAAAAAAAAAAAAACAAAACCACACAACACAGAACATCCCATGGAACATTTATCTGCTCTTTTGGGGCAGAAAGAAGTTCTACCACGAAACACTTCAGAAAAAGATGTATAAAGCATTGCTGAAACTTGAAAACTGAACCAAGAACGCTGTTATCAAGTCACTGTACCTGGTTAACCCCCACCCCCCCAATTAAAACGGGACATCTGGATTCCTGCCAAGGACTGGAACTTTGGCTCCAAGTTACTTACAGGACTTCTCTTAGCAACTCAAGAAAACAGCTGCAGGGTCCCTGCAGTTCCAACTGAAGGATGAAAACAAAATCCCAAACTTCTCAGATCAAGTAAAACCCACAGAAAACCAGACATCCTCGTTTAAATACCCAAATCTGTTTCATTAACTGCTTAAATCCCAGGTTAAGGATCAAGAGGCATGCAGTCTGCCATGAGGCCTCCAAAGCCAAGTTCGAAGAACAGCTGAGCTCTAAGTGCATTTGCCAGCTGAATGTTACCAGAAGGAAAACTGACAAACAAAATAGGTTAAAAAGATCATTCTACAAAAAATACACTAGCAACACAGCTGCTGCAGCCCTTTTGTAACAGGTATTGCAGCAAAAATAACACCTGACACTGAAGTTTCAACACGATGTTACCACCTCCTACATCTAGAGCTATCACCACATGAAAAGTAACGCCAGTGTTTGAAGTTATTTAATACCAACTTACAAATAATAAGCAATGTAAACGCATCTGCCCCGGGACGACCTGGCCAACTTTCCTGTGCCAGAAGGTCAGAGCCCAACGGGCATCACAGCTAAAAGAAACAGATTCCACAGGACGGAACGCTGAACTGGGTGCAGTGGGTGGATTCGGGCACCACCTGAAATTTCTGTACTTGTTCTCTAGCTGCGTAATTGGATAAAACTGAAAGTGTGTGAATTTTTTCCATCCTCAGATCAAAAAAGCTTAAGTCAGCTCTCAGATTTCCTTGCCCCTGTGTTCTCAAAGTACTGTCCTGGTAAAAGTCCTTCAACTGCTGATTAAAACAAACAAAAACCCTTCATCCATTCCTTTTACATGATACTCTCTCACTCGCCCGGAAAGACCAGCCAGAATGACTTTTGTCTGCCATTATCTTCTAGTTAAATGAAAGCAAAAGTATAACTACCCAGTTCAAGTCTAAGATAGAAGGCAAACTTGTGAGGCAAGTACTAAATAACAGAGCAGCACTAATTCGGCAATTAGTTGTGAAACCATTTTATAATCTAGTTTAAAGATTATCTCCAAACAGATGAGAAAGTCATGGCTAAAACCCAAACCAAACTCCATGCTTAAAACTTAAAAGACAAATCTGAACCAACTCATCTTCTGAGCAGCTCATCCAAATCTGCACCATTTCGTGTCGGAGCATGCCAAAGATCTTGGGTAAGCACGCAAAGAGGAGCAGCAAGATGCCAGACTGCCTGCTTTGCAACTCTTTATCAACTCCAGGGTGTGACGATACTTCCATGCAAAGCAATTTACTCCATAATTAATGGTTAGTTCAAAGCCACCTCAACACTTGTCCCTTTTCAGTAAGAAGCACCAACTCGAAGCTGTTCTGTTAATAGTTTCATGGGTCTGCACAGATGAGGGCTAAGATAGTTTATCTCTGGAGGATGCCCTCCATTTCTCTTATCAGAGCTCAAAGAGAGGAACCATATTCTGCTTCATCTTCTACTGGCCCTCGGGTACACCCCAGCACAGCTGCAGCTCACCTGAGGTTTGGAATTTGCTCACCTTCCCTTACATGGGGAAAATTGAAGTTGTAACAGAAAAAAAATTAAAACTTCCTCACCTGTTTTTTTCAGGAACAGGTAACTGTAGTAAGAAATCACCCCCCTGCTCCCCAGTCAGAGCTGCTGGTGCCCGGGGAGCACCAGGGAAATAAAGCTTTGCACTCCTGTGTAGAGGGGCAGCCTGCAGACAAAACCCACCGACACTTATCACTCCGATTCACCTCTCCGTGATGTGACTTTGTGTCATGAACCTCACGCAACAGCCAACACTGACTGAACCAACCCCTTAAGAGTTCAGGTGGGCTACACACCAAAGTAAGGGGTGACTAAATTCGGTGTTACATGGTACCTACATGTCTTGTTCCATCGAGGGAAACTTTATTTCTAAGTCACTAGCTGAGAGGTGATGTGGTCTTGCCTTTCAAAAAAACCCCAAAAGAACAACTGTTAAGCCCAGACCAAAGCATCATCTTAAGCAGGGCAGAAAGTAACTGCAGCGGTAGCATGCAAGGGATGTACAGTCTTCAGAGTGCTGAGAAAACAGTGGCTGCTCCTGTGTTACCGTAACGCATCCTACAGCACAAGCAGGACGCCTCGACCTGCTTCCATGGTGAAGTTTCTCTCAAAGATCAGAAACTTGCCCCCCAGCAAAGTGTTCAGCTCGTGGCACCACTTCGAGGAGCCGATTCCACCCCAGCAACAGGTCACTCATCTTCTGGTAACAGACAAACTTCCCCCAGTCCTCAGCACGCTCAGACCTCCCGGTGGCCTTGACTGTCCCTTCAGGACGTTTCCTCCACAACAAACTCGTGTGCCCTTTCTTGTGCCATTACTTTCAGGGGAAGTTCTACAGGGAAATAACTTTATTTCCTAATGGCAAAGAAAAAAATAACTGATCTAATGCTACATTCAGATTAAAATTCTGATACAGCCTGTGACTATGTATCAGCTACATTTTAGGATTTTTTTTTAAACTAAATTTGATAGCTTCATATATAATATCAATGTATATAAGATCAATCTGCAAATACTAGCTGCATTCTGACAGAACGTCAAGCTGTCTGCAGGGACAGAGGACTCCCTGCAGTGCACGGTCACTGAAACCTCTCAATTCCATTATTAATTATTTGTAGTCACCCTACATACATTTAAACAAACAAAAAAAGCCGGGTTGCCCAAGGTCAACTACAGCAGCTGTATGTAAAATACATGGTTTGCATTTATAAGCACACTATATATATATATATATATATATAAAATGTGAAAAGCTAGGACTACCCTGCCTGGGACTCCTCAGTGGCTTGAACACTGAACAAACGCAAGACTTAACTAATCCCTACCTAACACAAAAATCTAGATGTGGTATCCTACAAGACGGCTGCCACATGCAAGACAGATGTATGAAATAACACCAGGCGAGTGTTCACTCCCCTGTGCTCAGCTGGCATCACCAGCCCGTTCACAGGGTCTTACGTACTCTGCTTCACGGCCTCCCAGACAACTTTTTGTTCAAAGAGTTTACGGGCTGGTAGTTATTACAATGATGCTATCAGTCTGAACCTGCCGCCATCACCACCCTCATACCTACTTACACCAGGCTCAAACACGTGCGCCCCAGGAAGCCACGTAGGTATGGGCCGTAGCGCTGGAAGGACGTGACAGTCCATCCCCGAGGAACACAAAGCCCATTCCTGGGCAGCTCTGTCCTTCCGCCACCCCCGGTGCAAGGATGCACCCTGCCCACCACCGAGGGAAGGACCCCGACCCGCACAGCGTGCTGAGGCGGGACCAGGAAGTGGAATAATGACTCCTCAGAAGCCACAGGACATGTAAGTTTTAACCAAGTTTCATGAGCCCACGTGTTTCACTTCAACTGTTTCCTGACAAAGTTTTACTTGCTAATTTATTCTTTTCTGCCATAAATCTGTCACTGGAGCAGCTAACCCCAGAAAGCACGTACAGGTGTTTTAAAACCGCTGAAACAAAAGCACAAACTCTTTGCCCATGTAAATCGATCTAGCAGTTTGATGAACATCTCTCCTTTCTCTCATCGCAGTCCCAACCACCTACATCCTGCAGGACAGAAAGATCAGCACTTTTCTTTCATTTAAAATAGTCCCAAGTACTAATTACAACAAATAACACTCCCAAGGCCCTACCTAGACCTATCAACACCACTGCAAGGCCTACAGCCTTTGTAAGTAGCTTTTCTTATCTTAAAATCTGTCTAGAAAAGTGGTTAAACTCGTAACTTCCTTTTAAGACTTGCATCTCACAACAGCCTTCAAAACAGAACTTCCTTCACACAACTACAGGCAGCTGACTACTTTCACCTTTCTGTCTGAGCACTTCTGGGGGAGGAAATAAAAGAAAATTTCCATCTCTGATTAAAATCCAATCCTTTCAAATCTGATTACACCTCAGAAGGATCAAAAATCTAAGCAGTTCTGCAACTGGGAATGAGCTCTGTGACAACCGGGCCCGGTCAGGATGAAAGTTGACAATATTTCACCAAGTAACTCGCTGCCTGCACTCGCCTACCGCTCCAGAACAGCGGCACACACAAGTTTGCTCATCAGGGCTCTCACAGGCCACTAGACGGTAATTAAGGCCCAGGACCAAATAAAAATAATTTCAGAGCAAAACCTACACATTTAAGCATGGCTCACGCCGTCTGTGTCGTTCACAGCAACATCTTACTTTCAAAACGGTTGTCCTTCCTCTTGTATTTTTAAGACTGGGCAAATCAAGAACACGCACCGTAAATAAGCAGCTTACTACGCGCTGGAGGCAGCGTGAGAACAGAAGCCTGGTACGTGTCCACCGAAACAGGTGACCAGTTACGACGTGAGTACTCTGTGCCAAAACTTGCACTGAGAGCCGAGCAGCCCATTTTTTTAAAAATTTTTTTGCTGTTTTCAGTTCTAACGTGCCAAGTCTACAGTCCCGGAATTTAAACGTCGCTAGGCTTCAGGACGCAGCTCGGAGGCAGAACAGCACCCAAGGCACCTCGGGAGAGCTCGACCCGCGTCAGGGTATTATCAGCTTGGAGAAGGCACAAAAATCGCTGGAAAGCCTTTAAAGTAAAACCAGGCTTTTCCGGGCTGAAATCCAGCCCGCGCCCAAGGCCAGCTCGCAGGAGGGGAAGTTGGGGAGGGCAGCAGCGACCAGCGCCGGGGCTCCTCGGCTGCCCCGAGGAGGGAAGCGAGGGGAGGCTCCGGCCGCCGCCTTTG